GACATTAGAGCCATTAATCCTCCCCTCATTTTAAAACTTCTCCAGCTCAGTTATCTTCTGTCAACTGTACTCCAACCTCCACTAGTCCTGCTTCACTGAACTCAACTTCATGCCCTGCATCAGCTGTTTTCTGTGCCATTCTTTCCAGAATTGCTGTATCTTTCAGTGTCCATCCTCCTCAGTCAATTGTCAGCTTCCTTTATTATTCCATCTTTATACCTTTCTGCTTTGCTTCATTTCCTGCCTCGCCTATTACTCTTTTAACTCCCTGTTAACCAGTTTGGTATTCACAAGTCTATTTTGCTATTGGTTTGTCTTCAAGCTCTTCTTTCTCATTCTTTGTGCATCTAGTTTGTTGATAGACAATTGTTGATTTTATTCTCTACTGCTTAATTTATCTGAGGAGGGCACAAGTCCTGGGCAACATAACAAATGATATTTAACATGAGCAGCAAAAGAATTTGCTGATATCATTGAATTTTCACATACTTTTTTATAGGATAAAGTAAACAAAGAGCAGAGCTTTAGCAGCTATGGTACCATATTATCCCCCAAAATAAGACCCTGATTTATATTATTTTGAACCTTGAAATAAGCACTTGGCCTTATTGCCGTGTGCTCAAAAGCCCGATTGGGCTTATTATCAGGGGATGTCTATTCTGGGGAAAACAGGTTATATATTAAAAAAAATCAAGATAGTAGCCATGATATGTATCAAAATCTCATGAAGTATTAATACCGCTTTATAAACCATAAGTAAGACCACACCTGGAATATTGCATCCAGTTTTGGTCACCACATTTCAAAAAAGATGTTGAGACTTTGAGAAAATGCAAAGAAGAGCATCTAAGATGATTAAAGGCATGGAGACAAAAACATATGAAAAACGGTTGCAGGAATTGGGTATGGCCAGTCTAGAGAAAAGAAGAACTAAGAGTGATTTGATAGTAGTATTCCAGGATTTGAGGGGCTGCCACAAAGAAGAGGGGGTCAATTTATTTTCCAAAGTACCAGAAGGCAAGACAAGAACTAATGGATGGAAACTAATCAAGGAGAGAAACAATCTGGAATTAAGGAGAAACTTCCTAATAGTAAGGAAAATTAACCAGTGGAACAACTTATCTTCAGAAGTTGTAGGTGCTTCATCACTGGAGGTTTTTAAGAAAAGACTGGATAGCCACATATCTGAAATGGTATAAGACTTCCAAGGTTCCTTCCAGCTGTATTCTGATTGACTGAATTACCTGTTTTTATGTGTGTTGTGATGGCTGCTTTGGTGGTGTTTTTTTTTTCTTTTTTTCTTTTTACTATACTCTTCAAGCATCCTTGAAATTTTCCAAAAAACAGATCCAGGAATTTGTATTACTGCCATCCTGCTGCAATTCTCAATAGCTGACTCAGGATGGGTAGATTTGGTTTTGATCTGTGCAACTTTTCCTTGCTTTTACTCAGAACTCCATACTACTTTTCTGCATGAATTTGCAATCCTAAAAAAAGTCTCTCAAAATTATAGTAATACATATTGAAATATCTTATTTAAATGCTGTATTGCAATAGGGGCAGTTATTGGGAGCTGTACAGCTTCTGCATCTGAAGCAAATCAGATGCCTCCAGATGCGATAGGCAGTCCCCCATTGTTAAATAAATACTGGAATACTATTCTACTTGGCTTTTATAAACAGAGGGGCTGTGGCCAGTGGTGAAATCTGAACCGGTTTGCCACTGGTTCGCTGGCTGTGCATGTGTGGTGCATGCATGCACGGTGTGCGCCAAACACGCGCTGCATGTGTATGCACAGTGCACAGCAAATGCACGGTGCACATGCGCGCATGTGCAGTACGTCCCAAACAGTGGTGGGCTACTCCTGGTTCAGCCCGGTTCAGCCGAGCCAGTAGCAATGACAATGTGACATCACCGAACCAGTTCTCTTTGTTTGGGAGCTGGGCCCTCCCGCCCGCACCTGCGTTATTCCTACCTTTATTTCTTGTTTTTTTAGCTCAGCTAATAGGCGCGGCAGAGTGGATTGCCGCACCTCAGCTGGGCAGAAACCTAACGCGCTTGTGTGGAGCGCAAGTTTGGTGCACATGCGAGCGAAGCGAGCATTCGCACGGCAATCACATGCAAAGAGCATGCACAAAGAGAACCGGTGGTAATGCCGGTTGGAACCCACCACTGGGCCTAACGCATGCTTCACATGGAAAAAGGAGGCTTGGGAAGGTAAGTAGAGCAGCAAGGTGGGAGAACAGCTGTGCCACGCGATTTAGATTCATTAGAAAGCAGAATTTTCTGCTTTCTAGCAATTTTAAATTGCGCAGCACAGCTGCTTATCAGAAATACTGGTTCAGAGGAACCGGTAGCATTTTTTTACTACTGGTTCACCCGAATCGGTGCAAACCAGTAGCATTTCACCACAGCCTGTGGCAGACAAAGGATCTTGAGAGCTCTAGTGCAGATCACTTCATACCATATAGAAATTGCAATATGGAATTCCTCAAACATCCTCACGCTTGCCTATTCTCCAATGAGACAACAAAGATCAAATTAAACAGGAATATTCCTGACATCCCACTTCCTACGTGGAAGCCAAATGACAATTTTGCATTATATTAAGATTTTGTCTAATCTATAATTATAATTTATTATAACCTGCATAATTGCTAAAGGAGCTAGCCTAGATTTTGAGTGTCTTAGGAAAAGTCCCAGCACCTCTTGGCAAATGGAACAGGGTTAATTGTATCATGTTTGAGCTTCTGCTGGCTGCCACAGAGATCCTTTGGAGACACTTTCGCTCTTGAAAATCACTTACAGATAAAGGAAGTCTTATCCAATAACGCTTCTTCTTTTTTTTCCTCTTTTTTTAAAAAACATATAAGTTCCTTTAATTAAAGTGGTTTTCAACAGAATAAAAACAGTACAACTTTTAATGAAAAAGAAAAGTAATGAACAGTAAAAAGTGAGTGAGAAAGAAATGAAAAGGAGAAGTGGAAAAGAAAGACAAAAAAAGAGAGAGAAAAGTTCAAAAGAAGTGGCTTAACAATAGTTATGAATACATTTATATTTTGACATGGATTTAAAATATTCTTTTAATTAAGGTGATTTGGATTTGATCATTAGCCAACTTGAGGAATATTTGTTTTGCAAGAAAACAGGATATAAACTCAGGCAAAGCAGTCACACAGGAGCGCCAAGTTTCTTTCTCTGTCTTGTTGCTAATATCCAGACAATTGCATGCAAAACATTTTATTTATTTGTTTGTTTGTTTGTTTGTTTTTTGTTTTGTCAAGCATGTATAAGATAACAAACATAAGTATAAACATAATTATGAATACATGAAATGGATATGAATAAATGGAGAACAGTAGGACAGGGACGGTAGGCATGCTGGTGCACTTATGCACGCCCCTTACAGACCTCTTAAGAATGGGGTGAGGTCAGTGGTGAAATGCTCCCGGTTCGGACCGGATCGCCCAATCTGGTAGCGATGGAGGTGGGTGGTTTGGAGAACCAGTAGCAAAAATCCCTGCCCCCACCCCCATGCCCAGCTAAGCCGCACAATCATCAGAGGCTTTTTTTTTTTACTTTTAAAAGCATTTTTTCTACAACCTCTTTGGCTGAAAAAATGTCTTTAAAAGTAAAAAAACAAAACCTCTGATGATCGCGCGGCTCAGCTGGGATAGTCAAAGGCTTTTAAAAGAAAAAAAAAGCCTCTGCCGATCAGGCAACTCAGCTGAGATCGTCAGAGCCTTTTGAAAGCATTTTTTAACAACCTCTTCGCCGAAGAGGTTGTAGAAAAAATGCTTTTAAAAGTAAAAAAAAAAAAAATTGGCCATGCCCACCCAGTCACATTACCCCCCACCAAGCCACACCCACAGAACCGATAGTAACAAATTTTAGATTTCACCACTGGGTGAGGTCAACAGTAGACAGTCTAAGGTTAAAGTTTTGGGTGTTTGGGGAAGAAACCACAGAGTCAGGTAGTGCATTCCAGGCATTGACCACTCTGTTGCTGAAGTTGTATTTTCTGCAATCGAGTTTGGAGCGGTTTACCTTATGTTTGTATCTATTGCGTCCTTGTGTATTGTTGTGGTTGAAGCTGAAGTAGTCATTGACAGGTAGGACATTGTAGCAGATAACTTTGTGTACTACGCTTAGGTCAGTCCGAAGGCAGCGTACTTCTAAGTTTTCTAAGCCCAAAATTTCAAGTCTGGTGACATAATTTATGCAAATCCCTACATGTATTAGCAGCTTTTATACTAAAAGTATGGTTGCATTTCCTGTTCTATTTGCTTTATATAACTTAAAGCCAATATGGGGTAATGGTTGAAGTGCTGGACAGGGCGTGATAAGACCTACAAAAGTCATCTTACTTACCTTCAGTAGCATCCTCCTTCCCAATTGTAATCAGTATCAAATTGTGCAACAACTTGGCTGAAAACAAAGCTCCTCAGCCTTTCACGCATTGATAACTTCACTATGTGTATTAAAGCGAGTACAGGGCAAAACAAATAGACTTTGTGACTAAGGAGGTCAAACTCTAGGAATAATAACGTTTGCTTTGCATAATTTAATGTGTTTCTTGTAATCCACAATTTATTCTTTTTAATTCCATGGGGAACTGGGGGTTCAATAGAAAACAGAATTTGTTCTTTTTCATTGTTATAAGGCCGAGGGTCGGACACAGCTGAATGGCTGATGGCAATGACAACAACATTGTTATAAGTGCAAAGTATCAAGTACAAATTCTCGGCCTAGAAAAGACAACATAACTTTTTTCTTCAGCTTGACAACTTGTTTTCACTGAGAGTCTGCAATCAGTGATAGGAATTCAATGCCATCTTTTATCCAGTCAATCAGGACAATAAAGGATGAATGATCTGTCAATCATTAGGCAAATTATTAACTAAGAATATTGAAATGAGCCACAATGTTCAGTGAAATCAAATGATCCTGATGGTTGGGAGGATTTAAGAAAGATGCACTCAGGGGTAGGTTCTACTTACCTTTACTACTGGTTTGCAGTGGGACCCCGCACTCACGCTCTTCTGCACAGAAGCATTTTGATGACGTCGGGGTTGGTGGGCGGAGCCTCCCGCTGGGTTTACTACCGGTTCTATAGAACAGGTGCGAACCGGGGGCACCCACCACTGGATGTACTGCTTACACTTATTAGAGAAGGGAAACCACTTGTGGACTTTTTGCTGAAAAAAGAAAAAAAACCAAACCTTTTGATTTATAGGTTTAAGAGAGGGTAGATTAAAGAAAGAAATAAATTATGGTGTAACGTTAGAGATAAAGGTAAAGGTAAAACCTATCAGGATATTATCATCTTGATATGACAATCCCATTCTAAGGTAAAGGTTCCCATCGCACATATGTGCTAGTTGTTCCTGACTCTAGGGGGCAGTGCTCATCTCCGTTTCAAAGCCAAAGAGCCAGCGCTGTCCGAAGACATCTCCATGGTCATGTGGCCGGCATGATTAAATGCCAAAGGCACATGGAACGCTGTTAACTTTCCACCAAAGGTGGTCCCTATTTTTCTACTTGCATATTTTATGTGCTTTCGAACTGCTAGGTTGGCAGAATCTGGGACAAGTAATGGGAGCTCACCCCGTTATGCGGCACTAGGGATTCGAACCGCTGAACTGGCGATCTTTCAATTGACAAGTTCAGTGTCTTAGCCATTGAGCCACCATGTCCCTTACTTTAGAGATCGACAAAGTATAAATGTGTTTAATATACTGTCCATAGCTGTGGTTAAGAAGTTTGGAAGCTGCTTCTTTTACCTTTTCTTTTTCTTTTAATAACTTATTCACATGAAACTCACTTTAAGATTTCTAATTGGCAGTAAAGATACCTGGCTCTGTGAAAAAAGGGGAAACAAGTCAGAAAGAGGGGAAATATAGGAAACAAAGGTACAGAGGCTCTGTCAATGCATACAGAGAAGGAAATTGTGGTTTCTCTTCATACATATTTTACTTCATCAATCTGAACTCCTGGAAATAAATAAATATTAATAATAAACTCAGTTTGATTTTTTTTAAAAAAAAAAGTTTGTGTTTGTAAGGACAATAAATGAAACCAACCATCCATTAATGAATATGGGTGAGCTAGGAAAAAATATAGACAGAGTCCAGAGAAGATCTGGACAAATGTGTTAGAGGTCCATCTAAACTTTGTGATAAATTAGCTCCATATGATGGGCTCTACAGCAGAAAGCACCCATGCTGGAAGTAAAGGAAGGAAGGATTGGAGAAATCTCTATGACAGTAGATAGCTCACTGCTCATGGACTTATCAGCCAAGAGCAGCACCTTATTGGCTCAGCAATCAGTTACATAACAAGGGAGTTATAGGTAGATAATAAAAGCACATATTAGTGGCATCCTACTCTAGCTGTAATCTCTTAAGGATAGTTCCATGCAAAGCAACTCCTGTAATTCAGTTCTGAAGTTAGCAAGACATGTATGAGCTGTGGTGGTGCAGTGGTTAGAGTGCAGTACTGCAGGCTACTTCTGCTGCCTGCCAGCTGCCTGCAAATTGGCAGTTCAACTCTCAACAGGCTCAAGGTTGACTCAGCCTTCCATCCTTCCGAGGTAGATAAAATGAGGACCCAGATTGTTGGGGGCAATATGCTGACTCTGTAAACCGCTTAGAGAGGGCTGAAAGCACTGTAAATCTGAGTGCTGCTATTGCTATTCCTACTATCATCCTGCCCATAAAATAAACATCTCATTTTTAAAAAACATGGGGTTCTTCAGCTGATGTTAGGGAAGTTTCAAGAGTTCTCAGAAGAACATTGATACAGTTAATATTTCTCTGAGAGTTACAAGTTAAGCCTAAATTCCAAATCTATTGGACTTCATAGTCAGGCATATCATTACTTATAATTTGATCAATACTAAGTTTAGTAGAATGTTAATGTGTAGCGGGATAATAATCTCTATTTGATGATGTTAGACATTTTTTGATGAAGTTTGCATATAACTTTTCTGAAGTGGGAAAGATGAGGTGAATCTAATTATTGTCAACCCTGAAGCTGATTTGGCTGAAGCCATCTTGGAACTTCAGTGCTGCCACACTGGAGCAAGGGATAGGGAGGGGGGGATTAAAGATAGTGGGGGGTTGTGTAGTCAAAATAAAATACTTTCTCTTGGCAACCAAGAACATTCTGAACAGAGGAAGGAGGAGTGATGTCACTAGACCAGTGGATGCTGCTTTGATAGGGCCATGAGACTGATTGTTTGGGTTTGAGAGGAAAACTTTTACTTGTAATTAGGTGAAAACAAAGGGGCCCTCAGAGTCGGTTTTCACCAGATATGTGCCAAAATGATATTTTCAATAAAGCTATTCTTTGAGGAATCCACCTGTCTTGGAGTTTTTGCTTGCAGTGGATCTATTACTTGGAACTCTGACAATTATTCTCAGATATGTATGAATAAAGGGACATGATGGCTCAATGGCTAAGATGCTGAGCTTATCAATTGAAAGGTCGGCAGTTCAACAGTTCGAATCCCTAGTGCCACATAATGGGGTGAGCTCCCATTACTTGTCCCAGCTTCTGCCAACCTAGCAGTTTGAAAGCACGTAAAAAATGCAAGTAGAAAAATAGGGACCACCTTCGGTGGGAAGGTAACAGTGTTCCGTGTGCCTTTGGCATTTAGTCATGCCGGCCTCATGACCACAGAGATGTCTTCGGACAGCACTGGCTCTTCAGCAGAGCTGAAATGGACATGACCATCACCCCCTAGAGTCGGGAATGACTAGCACATATGTGCAAGGGGAACCTTTACCTTTTTATGTATGAATAAACAAACAACATTTTTTTTTAAAAAAAATGCAATGTATAATGAATTGTTAAAACATGAAGGAGAACGTAGAGGACCAACTTAAAGCCAGGGGTGAAATGCTACCAGTTCACTCTGATTGGGGAGGACCAGTAGTGAAAAAAACTACTGTTTCAGTTGAACCGATAGTAAAAAAAAAAAATGCTACCAGTTCAGTCGAACCGGTAGTTAAGAAAAGCTACTGGTTCCTCCAAACTGGTATTTCCGACGATCAGCTGTGCCGGGCGGTTTAGCTTTGCTAGAAAGCAGGAAATCCTGCTTTCTAGCAAAGCTAAAATGCCCGGCACAGCTGATCCTCCCCCTCGCTGTTCTACTTACCTTCCCAAGCCTCCTTTTTGGTGCATACTGCACATGCGTGTGCAGCACGCATTTGGCACACAGCGTGCATGCACGGCCAGCGAACTGGTAGCAAACAGGTTCAGATTTCACCACTGCTTAAAGCCCTAACCAAATACATTATCCCAGGGAAAACAAAGTGCTGTTCAGTTACATGGGATCAATGTGCCATTTTCCCATTAGAAACCCCCGTTTTGCCAGGGAAAATAAAACCATCAGCTCAGCTATAAGAACAAGCTGAGGAAAACTGGCATACTGGGAAAAGTGAAGGTGAGCAAGACATTTTACTCTATAAAAGTAAAATAAAATAACTCTCTTCGAAGATATATTCATGAAATATTGCTTCTTTGTTCTTTCCAAAATTCATTGCCTTTATAGTTTTGCCCCATTACCTCATAGTTAATAACTTACTGATCTCATTGGGCACAATGTTATAATATGTTACATCCAAATGAAATGTATTTGCCTGCTCTATCCAATCACATGCATATTTTTTGTGGTTTTTTTTTTTTTATTAATATGGCTTGTTACATTTTATATCTAAATGGTTTTTTTTTACATTGTTATTTTATTTTATTGTTATGCACTGCCCAGAGTTGGCTTTGATGAGGTGGGCTCCGATATAAATTTAATACATAAATAAATTTAATACATAAATAGACAATAAATATTAGAAAATTAGAATCAGATTAGAATAAATAAATATTCTAATTTGACAATAAATATTCTAATTTAACAATTCCATAAAGAGGAATTGTAACTCCGCCCGTCTGAAGATCTGTCATTGCCTCCAGTGCTGTCAAAAAACTAATTTGTGCTCCGTTATAACTTGTCCTGGTTTATGTTCCAACCATTCCTTTTGAGGAAAATATCTTCTACTATCTACTACAAGGTCAAATTGGGGGAGACATTTAATAATGCTATTATTAAATTGTCTATCAGAACTAGAAATAAAAAAAGAACAATTAAAATAAAAGCAGTGAAGTAGGACTGTCAAAGGAAGCTAGCTCATAAAGAAGCTAGCTGTGCTGTATTTCAATAATAGAAACATGGTACTGTATAGAATTAAAATATAGCAGTCACCCTAAGGATAAGTCTAGAAATAAAAATAGATATTAAATAAAGAGATTAAAAAAGAGAGTCATAAAACTAAAATAGGTTATAGGATATAAGAGTAGTTGACTTACAATATTGTTACTTTAGAAAACATTTCATAATGCCCTGGTATGTTCTGCTTCCTCTATTTTTGTTTGTAAGAATAACAGCGTTTTCTTTAAGCATAAAACGTCAAGGAGTTATTGGATCAATTGCTCCTCTTGAGCCTATGATAGCTAACTTCTAAAGCCTGACAAAAAATATGCTTGCTAAACTTCTCTTTATTCAACCTGAAGATGGTTGATCCATCCTACTCATCTCCTCCTAGCTTTTCACAGAATGCTGACAACTCTATTCTGCATTCGGTATGTTTTTCAAGTAGATCTTGTTTAGTAACCACAATTGGGACTGGCAACTTGGTTGTTAGGTGGCGCAGTAACTAAGTGAAACTGTGACTAAGCTGACAATCTGATTTCAGCCTTTTGTTGCTTTACTGCAAATGTGTTGTAAATGTGAGGGCTGGTCACAAAGTTACTTTTCCATCGCTATAGTAACTGTGAATGGTCACTGTACAAAATAGTTGGTAAATGAGGACTGCATGTATTTAGCAGTATGAATGGGCTATTTTCATTTGAGGAAAATCTATGTGCAATTTGAAATATTCCCCAGTCATTGCCATGTGAGAAATGTTCTCAGTTATCATATGCTTTCAGTGGCAGGAGAAACCAATATTCCCCTATTTAAAGTTTAACATCTAGAGATGCTGGATAAGGATTTACTTGCAAATCATTCTCGAGAGCCGAAATAGCAGTGAAATGCCAAGAACACTATTGAAGGTTTTGGAAGAGTTTCTCATTTTACTTAT